TAATTATGATGCTACATAGTCACCTACTTCCTCCTGACATGCTTGTTTGTTGCCTGAAACACGCTGTCTGCTTCAAATCTCATCTACATTATGCTAACACAAAGGCATAATACAGCATGGGCCTGAGAGCTGGGAAACACAAACAAGTTATTGCCCACGGGCTGATCCACGGCAACTGCCTGCATGCAGCTCTTACCCAATCTGGGACAACGAACACCAGCTCAGCCTGCTTTTAGTGAGGGCTACCAAAATTGCAACTGCCGTACCTTTTGGGTTAGGTTGTGACCGTGCCTACAGAGCTATTGCGGGTCAGCTGGCGCTCGCCAGGCTGACCCCATGGTTACACGCTCGCGTGTCTAACCCCTCCGAGTCAGCATGCATTTATGGATACGGCACCCTCGTTTCCTGAGCAATCTCTTGATTCCTCTTATTGCAGAGTTTTCCACATATGTCAGCTTAGAGACATGTACAAACAGGACTAGATTTTTTTTTTTTGTCTGTGAGTTCAGAGGAAGTAGAAGACTTCAGAAAAAAGAGATCATCAGTCAGATATTAGTGACTGGCACTACAAGATGGATATTGAACGTGGCGCTATAATACAGGCAACCTGAACACGTGTTTCTTTACCTTTTTAACTTGAGCAAGGATTACGCTTCAGCCCCGTCAGACACTGCAACGTGCGAATCCCCTCAACGGAGGTACGAATAAGGCGCTCTGCACCTAAGCTTTTCTTCCATGCGACTCACTCCAGAACATCGTTTTGAAGTTTAGACATGGTCCAAACGCTTCCTGGGAGCTCTGACCTACCCCGCTTCTCATCCAGCCTGTGCTCTACCTCCCCCAGCTCCCCCGGCACGCGGGAGGTTCTGTCAGGCAGAACCGGGACCGGTACAACTGGCGAGAGCTGCCCGGCGCTCAGATCCTCCTGCGCCCTCCCAGCTGAGAGGCAAAGGCATCGCACTTTTTAGGGCTAAATAAAGCAGCTTGAGAACACTGCTGACTTACAGAGAAAGAACAATTGAGCAGCAGATGAAAATGCTGGCCATATGGCTGAGCTGGCAGCCTACCCAAACTTCGGGTTTGAGAGGGGAGAAGGCGGGGGAGAGGGGAAGGAAATTTAACCTCTAAGTCTCTTTTCCTTTCCCTAATCAGAGCCAGGCTGCAAGTCTGTTTTGGTGATGTCAATACAACATATAGAACTAAAATAGGAATTTGGCACTTCTAGTGATTCTGAATACTCTTGGCACTAAAAAGAAAGGATACAGCCAACTTTACAACAAAAATAACTCATATTTCTGTCCCAAAATAACTTATTTGCTATCGTTGATTTTTAAGCCCGAGATTACTACCAATGAACAATACCTTTCCTTGCTTTTGTCAGTTTTATTTCTCATTTGGCATGATCTTACATAACACTTAGTCATCTTACGGTGCCCTATGTACAGTCAGGGGAGTTCTGTTTGTTTCTTTTTTTTTCCCCTTCAGGCAGCAAGAGGAAAACACCACTTACAAAGGCAGCAATGTGACTGCAAGAGCACAACACCCAAATGGCAGCACGAGGGGTTGCACAGTTCTCAAGACCAGGTTTTACCATCTGCATTTCATTTATTTCAATTGGTAAAATTTCAGAGTTGGTAGGGAAAAATAATCCATTTATCTTAACCCCTTGAAAAGCAAGAGGAGTTTAAGGCACTCAGCATCTAAGAACACTTTGCCTTTAGTTAACGGGCAGACCGTGCTTTGAGCAAAGCCCTGAAGCAAGGGTTTTCTCTAGCACCCAAGCGATCCTCCTCCAACAAAAGCACCTCCGAAAAGTCGCAAGTCACGACGGCTGCGGAAAGCAACCTCCCTCTTAGTGCAGCTCCCTCCATTACAAGTAACACTAGCTACAAAATCATCAAGCCAGTCCCTCTGATTGACACGGGAGTTCCCCCTCGCTCTGCCTTCCCACGTGCAAGCTTAGCCAAGTAAGGCAGGATTTTTCCAAGGAAAGGTTTCCAGCGTTGGCCCCCAAACAACTGAGCTGGGCTTAATACTCGCTTCTGCTTTTTGCTCCTTTGCAGGGTGAAGCAAGGGAGGAGCCCCGATACCCTGGAAAAGCGTTTATCCTTGCAGACTCTCTGAAAAGTTTGCAGCCTCTCCCCCGAGGGACAGATGGAAGAAACAGGCACAGGATGTGAAGGGAAGCGGGGGGATTCTGCTTGTCATTAGAAAAGTGAAAGGAAGCCGAAATCTGCATTCATTAACCTGCTTAGCTGCTCTCAGGGTCGGTTGATCAAGTTGTCTTCCACCGACCGCAAGCCAAGAAACGCCACAACAGCACGAACGCCGCAAGCCAGATCTAACCCCACGGATGCGTGCTGGGGGGACGAGGGGGAAACCGGCTCCGCCAGGGTTTTCCACTGCCCTCGTCCCGGCAGCGCGCGGCACGCGAGGGCTTTCTGCCCAGTAGCGCGAGACCGGCGCGGGGAGCCCGCAGAAGAGCTCACGCGCTGTGGAAGGGCCGGAGCGCCGGCTCCCCGGCGTCCTGCC